TCAGGGTGTTGGTGAATACCTAGAAAGAAGGAAGGAGACACGCAAAGCCTTGTTCCATTAGGTGTTACTGAATATGAGAGTTCAACAGGCCCCTAGAAAGCTTCCGGAACCGTCCTCGCATGTCAATTAACTTTTTAAGAATGTTTATAAGGAGGTAAGTCATAGCTAAATGATTTGGATACAAAATATTTTATTTGCATAGTTCCAGTTCCAAGCTCTGGTACATTCAAAGACACAAAGACAGATCTCTGATTTGGAAGTACCTATGCTTCACGTGTCCCAGAGTCTCTGTAGCACAGCCAGCAAAGGGGAGCCTGCTGCAGTGCTGAACTGAGAGGAAAATCTCTCACCACCAACCACACAGCCTCAGACAAACCCCCATGAAGCAAAGGCTCCACCTCTTTTCTTAAACCCTAACACAGTGGTTCTCAACATGTGGGTCGTGACCCCTGTGGGGTTAAAATAACCTTTTCATGGGGGTCATATAGCAGACCTCCTGCATATCAGATATTTACATTATGATTCATAACAGTAGCAAAATTGCAGTTAGGAAGTAGCAGTGAAAATAATTTTATGGTTGGTGGTCACCATAACATGAAGAACTCTGTATTAAAGGGTCACAGCATTAGGAAGTTGAGAACCAATGCCCCCAAAATCCTTTAAGACTTGGAAGGTTGATGGGAACTCCGTTGTGTGTTTTGCAGACAGAGTGAGCGCGGGCAAGCTGAAGACAAGAGGGTTACAATTCCATGGGAAATAGATTTATTCAAACATTAGACTTAAATATTTAAAAGCCACAAGGGCAATTTCAATACAAAAAAAACCCCAGTTTTCACCTGACTAACAATTCAATTATAGGTACAAAGCAAGTTAGAGCAGCTTGGTCTATTTTATGACCACACTATGAGTGGGCAGGACGTGTTCCATGATTAAACAAGTCTAGAAGACTGTCATCTACAATGTAGTCACTACATTTGTAAGGAATGCACATGTGCTCCAGGCTCTGAGACTACAGTAGAAAACCCAGCCGAGTTTATTTAGCACATCAGCTTCCAAAATGAATACTACTTTGTAGAAGAAAAAGGTAGCGGATACAGTTCGGACTTGTGGGCTCTGAGGGTTCCTCCCAGAAAGCCCGTGGCAAGCACACTACCAATACAAGGACACTTCTCACACAAAGAATCTTCTTTCTTGGCAAGATGAGGCCACAGCCTCTACCCCAGTGTGCATCGTCTCTGCTCATCAATGGGGCACAGTGTGAGGGAAGTCATCCACAGCCATCAGAGGCACTCATACATATCTCCAGGGCAGCACCCTGGGTCATGGAAATAGGACTTTGACTAGGATGTGGCTGCCTTCATTCCTTAGAAAACTACCACCAGCAGAGAAAAAAGCAAGAACAATCGACTTCTCTCTATACCAGCCACCCCGACTGCTTCCTAAGTGCTTCCGTCTGACTTGTCACACCTCCATCTTCACTAAAGCAGAAGAAAGAAACGGAACCCTTTCCCTGGGGGAATATGCACCAGGTGCCATGCACACCAGCCCCATTTTCTTGGTGGGTCAAGCCAGTCTCCCAAATAGGGAACAGTGCATAAAATACACTTGGCTACGTAAAGTGATTTTTAAAACTATCTCTTTGAGAGCGAGCTCAAACATGAAAATCCTGCAGGTTCATGAGTAGTGCTTAAGA